ATTGCTGAGCCACTATCAGTGAGATCTTAAAAGTCATGGAAAATGGGAGAGCTACTATCAGATCTAGAAAAGGGAAAATTATGTTCTGATATTTAAAAAAAATTTTTTTTCAAAAAATTTGATATTCTCTAGGCCAGTGAGAAAGACTGATTCCTAGAGAATTTCTAGATGGATAACTAAAGAGATGGTTAGTGAACATCTAGAAAGAAAAACAATGATTATAAAGAGCCAACAAGGGTTCATCAAGAACAGGTCATGCCAGGATAAATTCATTTCCTTTTTTAACAGGATTACTGAACTAGTAGGTGAGGGGTAGATATAGTTTTCCTAGATTTTAGCAAAATCTCTCATACTAATTCCTTCGGAGAAGATAGAGAGATGACAATTAGACAATAATATATCAGAACTGGTTGGAACGTGGAACTCAAAAAGTTGTTGTTAATGATTCAGTGTCATCATGGCAGGAAGTCTCCAGTGGAGTACCTCAAGGATCTATATTTGTCCCTGTGCTATTAAACATTTTGATCAGTAATTTGGATAAAGTCAGATGCCATACTCATCAAACTTGGAAGATGACACAAAGCTAGAAAGCATAGTTAACACAGAAAACTATAGAGTCAGGAAACCCAGCTCCATCCAATCTTAACTGCTGGCATTGGACTAAATCTAGCAAGATATTTAAAGTAACTAGGTGGCACATTGGATAGACTCCTCAACTTAGAATCAAGAAGATCTGAGTTCAAGTCCTGCCTTAGATAGTACTTTTGTCACCCTGTACAAGTCAGTTAACCTCTCTGTGCCTCAGTTTCCTCATGTGTAAAATGAGGATGATAATAATAATCTCTATCTTCCAGGAGGATCTCCTCCAAGATAGGAGGAGATATTTTAAAAGATTTTTGAAACAGTAAAACATTATGTAAATGCTAGCTATTCCTATTAATTATTTTTATTACAAGCTGAAGTTCAATAGGGATAAATGTAAAGTCTTAGGTACAAAAAAAATCGGCTTCACAAGTACAAGATTGGGTCATGGTTGGACAGCAGCTTGAAAAATATCTAGGAGCTTTAGTGGACTGCCAACTCAATATGAGTTAACAGTGCAAGATATCTAAAATTTTTAATCTAAAAAATTTAATGTCATCTTGGGCTACATCAAAAAGGATTGCTTCGTAGAATAAGAGAGTGATAGTCCAGGGCAGCTAGATGGCACAGTGGATAGAACACTGGCCCTGGATTCAGGAGAACCTGCGTTCAAATTTGACCTCAGACACATAACACTTACTAGCTGTGTGACTCTGGGCAAGTCACTTAACCCCAATTACCCCCCCCCCAAAAGAAGAAGAAGAAAAAAAGAGAGAGAGTGATAGTCCCTCTGTACTCTACCCATATCAGGCTTCATCCATTGTTATAGGAGTTTAAAGACATTGCTAAATTGAAAAAGTGACCAGATTAGGGCAACCAGGGCAAGAAGGTTCTTGAATTCATGTCATGTGAAGATGGACTGACAGATCTGGGCATGTTTAACCTTAAGAAGACTCAAAAGGGACATGATGTTCAAGTATTTGAAAAGTTGTCACATAGAGGCTCTCCAGAGGATAGAACCCAGAGCGATGAGTGGAAGTGTCAGAGGCATAGTAAAGCTAAATGTCAGGAAAAACTTGACAACAATTGGACTTCTCCAAAAGTGGAATGACTTGTCTCTGGATGTGGATAGTTCCAAGAGTGTGCTGTAAATGTTATTAACCAACTCTTAAAAAAAAAAAAGTATGCACATGACACACTTTTAAGTCTAATCTGCATCATTAACATTTTCTCCATCATTTTCTTAATCAACAACACAATAAATCAAGCCCTGATTTGTAACATTTACTAATTTCCAAGGTGTAAATATACACACTAAAAATCTAACATTTGGCTTTAGAGAATTTTATGTTAAGGGTAATATCTCTTCTACCTCTCAGATTCTGTGACTGATCTACTGAGTTGATTTAACACCTTTAATTTGGAGCAGCACTATAATATTGTAACTCTCAGTGTTATGGTTGCACAGCAGTTTGTCTGAAAAAAATGTGGGAGTCTCAGTGGACTGCAAACTCAATAATATGAGTCAACAGTGTGAGTCAAGAGAGGCTCAATCAGTAAGAACTCATACGCATTGTGAGTTGGGCTAGCCAATCAGGACAAGGTTTCAGTGCTCAGGCAATATCTGGTTCCACCAAACACAAGTTTGCCGAGAGAGAGAGAGAGAGAGAGAGAGAGAGACTTTTGAGAAAAGAAAGAGGGATAGAAGAGAAAATTGAGCCAGTGTAAAAGCAAAGGGCCACTAGGTGGCGCCAAAGTGCATAGAGTGCCAGGCCTGGAGTAAGGCAGACTCAACCTCTGAGTTCAAATCCAACCTCAGACACTTACTAACTGTGTGGCCTTGGCAAGTCACTTAACCCTGTTTGCCTCAGTTTTCTCATCTGTAAAATGAGCTGGAGAAGGAAATGGCAGACCACTTTAGTATCTCTGCCAAGAAAACCCCAAATGAGGATATGAAGAGTCAGACAAGACTGAAAACAACTGAACAACAGTAAAAGCGAAAGATGTCAATAACATTTTAGTTTCTTTTTAATCTATGTGAAAAAAAATTGAGATATGTAGAAAGAACTGATAGGCCTTTAGCCTCTAGCTATCTAAACTCACTGTCTTTAATTCTGATTGAAACTCATTTTCTAGACACCTGTTTATCACTTTGGTGGCAATTGGTACCCACTTTTTTTTTAACCTTTAATCTATTTCTTGGCCTATGGAGTTGTATTGTTTTATTGGTTTTGTGTTTTTTTTTTTAATTAAACAACAAACTGAGGAAACAACAATTTCTAAGTTTTTCTCACTTGACATGTTCTGAGTTTTAGGGGTTTTGTTGTTTTTTAGGTTTTTGTTGTTGTTGTTGTTGTTGTTGTTGTTTTAAGACTGGGTCTTCATATTTTGTCTGGACTAGAAGTACAGTAGCCACTTACAGGTCCAATTCCAGTACTGACCAGTACAGGAGCTCTGACCTCTTGTTTCCACCCTGAGTTGGTTCACCACTCTTTAGACAGACCTCTCCTAGGGACTCACCATTTTCATGCCACACTTAGTGCAGACACCCAATCATCAGCCCACCACACTGCTGCTGCACTGATGGGTGAAGAAGTAATTAGAATTGTGACAATTTACACATAAAATTAAGCAGTATTTCCAAAGTAGCCATATTATTCTTTCACTTTATTTATATGATACTTCACTTGTGCAGAGGTCACTTATCAGCAGGGATGTGCTGGTAAATGTTTAACAACTGGCTGTCCAGTGGCACACAACACACTTTTATGTTTAACTTACATTATTAACATTTTCTCCATCGCTTTCTTAAGTCCACACAACCAATAAAATAAACCAAACTCTGCTTTGTAGCATTTGCCAATTTCTGAGGTATAAATGCTCCCACTGAAAATTTAACAGTCAGTTCATAGATTTTGTGCCGGCTTCAGCATACTCCTGCCTAGTTACCCTTAACAATACAGAACAAAGCCAGAAACCAAGAAGTTTAGAAAGCAGTCCCTGGGCAGCCAGTGACACAAATCCCACCCCCTTCACTCACAGGAAAACCCCTTTCTCCCTTGAATCCTTTTCAACTGGGTGTCCATAAGCTTGACTGACCTCAGTGCCTAGCAGTCTGTTTTCCCAGCCAGGTATTTTGCAAATAATGGTGGTGGTAGTTGGTAAATATGGAAGGTTATCCAAATTCCCTCGTCTATAGGTGATTAGAGGCAGCATAATTGGAAGGAAGAGTGAAATTAGAGAGAGATATAGTAACAGTCCCAAGAAATGATGTTTGAGAATGAGAAAAGATACTGAAGAATAATAAAAGAAGAGACGCAACTCAAAAGCCCAAGAAGTCTGGGGGACATGTACTGTAAGGATAAAAAGTATTACACACCCTTCCCCCAAGACCAAGCATCACTACCTTGTTGCCTATACCCTAATAAATAAATGTTCATGAATAATGATGGCAACTCATGAAGAAAAGATTGTTATGTCCCATGTGCTCTGAAAGAAGGGAGGGCAGTGTGTATTCTAAAAATATTTCTATTAAAAATCAGGACTTAGAAAAAAGTTTTGCTGCTTAAAAGGGTAAGTTTTATTTATCTAGAAAACTCAGATATATGGAATACTTCCTTCCTTAACATGACCATATTTATTTCTTGAGTTCCAAATGATGATTTTATGGGGTTTGGGTTGATTTTTTCAAAAAAAAAAAAAAAAGCTCAATATCCATCGAATGATCCTTTGCTAGTGTTGGTCTTTCCCCAATTTTTTTTTTTAATTTGGGTATCCTGAGAAATGTTCCGGTTTTAGAGAGAGCAAGTTCTTTTCATTGCAAGATGGATCAGTTAACACATAGCTGCTAAGAGTGTTGGCAAAGCACAGATTTTCTTCCACATGACCAATCACCAACCACCAGACCTTTGTATGCCATCTTTGTGTGAAAAGGACACATTATGAAATGTGATGTGATAACTTTTTCAAGCAAATAATTAATCTAACTGGACAAGAATATTCCTATCAGTATAATTAGTTGCTATATCCATCAAACCCTCAACCTCCCATTTAGGAAGAGATGACTAGATCTTCTCAGACACACACACACACACACACACACACACGAAAACACAAACACGTGTTATTTCCCTGCTTTCCTGATAGACTCTTATTTTTCACGTTTGGAAAATACATTGAGAAGTATCCTGGGAAATCTGAGTAAGTATTCAGAAAGACTGCTCTGGTTCTGGGATATCTGGCTGTGCAAAAAAACCCAAGCAGCTGATACTTAGGGGAGGCTCTGTCTCTCTTGATTTTTTATCTGGACAGATCCCATTAAAATAGAGGTAACAGATTTACCTTTGAAATGGGCACAATGAATAGAAATCCATCTTATAACCAACTAATTGTTTGCCTTTTTTTTTTTTTTATTGAAGACATGACAATGGATGAAGTCCGAGAGTTTGAAAGAGCAACTCAGGAAGCCACCAACCAGAAAATTGGAGTTTTCCCACCTTCAATTTCTATCTCCAGCATTTCCCTACTGCCTTCTGCAATCCGCACTGCTCCTTCTAGTGCTCCATCTACACCACTGTCCACAGACCCTCCAGAATTCTTAGCAGTTCCCAAAGATCGACCTCGAAAAAAGTCTGCCCCAGAAACTCTCACTCTTCCAGACCCTGAGAAAAAATCTGCACTGGATTTACCTGGTGTACATTCTTCAGACAAGCCATGTCAGCCCCAAGAGTAACAATGAATAAAATTTCATGGTTTTTTGGGTGGTTTTTTTTCTTTTTTTTTTTTCTTTCTTTATTGGTGGGGTTTTGTTGGTGCGGGGATTTTTTGGGTGGTTTTTTTAATTTTAGGATTCTTCTGATAGAGAAAAACTGCTTTGTTACTCAGACTTGTTCCTTCAGTTCTCTCAATGAGCATGCATGTGATTATGTAATTCCATATATAATCTGAATTCCAAAGTACATCCTACAGCATCAATAGTACATGTCGGGAAATAGTCTGATGAAAAATTGCAAAGGACAAAAGGAATCTTCTGTTTTAATAATTATAAGCCAGAAAATAGATTCTGATGTCAATATGTGATTAAATTGATAAGGATTCCAAGGGTAAACAAATGAATACTCAGTGAAAAGGACAAAAGTCCATCTTCTTCCCCATTAAACCTGAATTTCTAAAAATATACATATTTAACAGTCTCAGGCTTGACATACTTAATTGTTAAACTTTGAACTGATTATCACCAATACTTGAACACCAATAGTGATTGTCCAGATTCATAGTTTAATCTGACTCAGGATTTGGGGCCTAATTAACTCTTTAAACTTTAAAAAAACAAAAGATATTGACATACCAAGGCTCCAAGTGCAATTATTGATAATTGACTTTATGGCCATTAATCCTATTTATACCTTACACAGAATTTGTAATGGAAAAAGATTCCACTTGTTTCTACCTTTTAATAACTTTCCCTTCTGCTGTCTTACGGCCTCCAACTCTAGCTGTTGCTTGAATGAGAGAACCCTTAACTGACTGCTCTGGGTATGATTTAGGAATTAGAAGGCTTAGGTGAAACCAACCCCTTCATTCTCTAAAATCTCCATCCTCTGACTTTTGGACTCAAGTTACCCACTGAAGATGTCAAAGTTCCACCTTAGCAGAATGGAACTGATAGTTCATTGTCCCAGTACGGTTTTATCAGAAATATAGAGGGTAAGGTAATAAATATATCAATAAAGTCCTGTGGGGGCAGCTAGGTAGTGCAGTGGGTAGAACATTGGCCCTGGAGCAAGGAGGACCTGAGTTCAAATGCGACGTCAGACACTTGACATTTACTAGCTGTGTGACCCTGGGCAAGTCACTTAATCCCATTGCCTAGCCAAAAAATAAAATAAAATCCTGTGAAATAGTTCTAAAAAGCACCTTTTTTCAGTCATTTTCTGCCTCCCATTTTCTTCCATTGTGGGTTCTTGGTAACTAGCTACCCCTCCTAAGACCTCTTATCCATCCTTCCACCTTACAAAACTTCATTTTCAGTATCTTTCCTTGAGGTCATGAATGAATATGTCACTGGAGCCAAGTGAATAGCAAGAGGGAAATGCAGGGTTGGGGGGTGCAGAAAGAGGGCTATTGTTGATAGGGCAGAAGGCATAGGTGGAATCATTGACCTCTACTTACATATTAAAAAGTATAATCAAATGAGGTTATATCTGTAAAGTACTTAAGTACAGTGCCTAACACATAGTAGGTGCTTAATAAATGCTTGATCTGTTTCCCCTTACTCCATAGAAATAGTATTAGGTGAGACTTGACCAAATTTTCTTTGATTTAAACTAGGTGGGGCTAGAATTGGAATAGAGAGATATGGGAGGTATAATCATGAAGGGGAGGCAGCAAGAGAATTCCAAGGAATCACTGGACCCAATCTATTTAATTTCACACCTCACTGCCTTGAAACTCAGGAGAAAAAAAAGTAGAATCTCAGAATTTACATTTGACCTCTAAATGAGGGTGATCTAACAGCTCTCCAGGCAACACCCCAACTCTGACCTTTTTAGCTCAGGAAAGGGACCTTCCACCACACCAGGATTTCCAAGACAAAAAGACTAAGGGAGGGTATTGTAATGATCCCTATCTAAAGTCCAAGACCTCTTCCCTTCTGTCTCTTAATCCACAATATTCTAAGTAGTCTCTTGCTAATAGTTACATCCTCACAGTGTACAGATGTTACCTCTAGAGGCAAATTAATGTTAGGTTCATTTCTTTAGTTGTTAATTGAAAGGAGGTAGAGCAAAATGTACTAAGATCTACACTTTAAGGAATTAAACATTTGTGAATAGTTTTGGTCTCTGGATCGTCTCTTCCCCTAGAGTGATGATGTTTTTAATAAAACATATTCCCAGCATGGTACAATCACATGATGTTGGCTTGTTGAAAGTTTTCTTTCAAACCCCTGGAACTTCTGAATAGCTCCCTTAGGAGAGTGTGCTAGAGCCAGCTCATACCTACTCTAACCAACTATTAAATTTACAGAAAATTTTAAGTAGTTTTCATTTACACCCCAGAAATTGTCAAACACTACAAGTCAGGGCTTGGTTTATCATTTTGTTGTCTAGACTTAAAAAACTTAATAATGCAGATTAAAAATATAAGAAATAAAAAAATATAGAGGCAGCTAGATAGCACAGTGAATAGAGCACCGGCCCTGAAGTCAGGAAGACCTGAGTTCCAATCCAGCCTCAGACACTAGCTGTGTGACCCTAGGCAAGTCACTTAACCCCAATTGCCTCATCAAGAAAAAAAATATATAAAAATGTATATCCCTATACATTTTCTTTTTTTCAGAGAGCTGATTGTTAAAACATTTACCAGCACACCCCTTGTAGAAGATAAAGTAAATGTCTGGTTCTGGTGAGTGTAATTTTAAAAATGGAAACCCAAAAACCATTGAAAAAGATAATGAAATGTTGAGTGTACTTGTTTACAAGCCAAAACCAGAGCCGGAGATGAGGAGTGAAGGAGAACAGAAATAAATCATTTGACATGGGTTAGCATGAATTTATTTCTTTTATCTTGGTCATAAATACCTAGTGTGTATATATATATACACATATATATATATATATATACACACACACCTATGTATATATATATATTTTTTTTACCACTACCATCCTCAAATTTTGCAAACCAGCATTTGCTCTTGAGGTCAACAATTCTGTGTGCTTTAGGAAGCTATCTGAAGACTCTTTCATGATTTTTATTTCTTCCATAGCCAGAAATCAAATGCAAAGCTACCCTTCAGTAGTTTAACATTTAGCTGACAGATTAATGGTCTTCAAGTCTTCACACTTTTTTTTTCCTATGTATAAAAAAAGGGGAGAGGAAATGCAAATATTCCTTTGGCTGCTTTGAACATTACCACGAGACATAAAACAACTTCAATATTTTACATACCTATGTCTTAAAGTGTGTCATTTCACCAACTCCATAAATGAATTTGATGTAAGATTTTGCTATATGCTATAGGATTGTGTGATATATATATACGTATACATACATGTAAACAGTCGCATTTCTCATAAAGATGAAAATTACATGGCTGTATGTTGGAAATTTAGAAAGAAAAAAAAGCAGCTTGAATTCACTAAGCATGTTTGGGGAAAACAGAATTCTTTACTCAGTGCCTCTGTATACAAAATAGTAATCTTCAGCTTTTTCACCAAAATTGTATGATATATGTATATAGAGAGAGTATACCAAATCTCACACTACCAATTTAAAGTTGCTAATAGCTGAATTAAAGTAAAAGATCCATGATTAGAGCACATACATTTATCCTTTCTTCATCCCTTATGCTGATGAAGGTCATGAAAATATCATTTAATCTCCCTACTTTGGGTCATCACAGTAACAAGATACTGCCAAACTTCCCATCCACTGTAAGTATAGGCATCTTACTCCTCACTTTCCTTTCCTGGGAAGATATCTCTATTTCTCCAGCTATCTCCTCAGTCACAAACCAGCACCAAATCCCAATGCATTTTTCTTTCATTCAGGAAATAGGGACATCTCTTTTCTAATGATCTCTGAAGAAATGGAAAAATGGTGACAGAAAAATGGCCTGTGAAAGAAAGATGTTGGCTATCACCATGTCATGACTAAACCTGTGATTCCATTTCATGTTTTTGTGATCATGGATTAATCTGGAAAAATCTTTTGTGGTTTTGAATCAGTTTGTGGGGGAAAGAGTGGTTCACATGTTTAATTAGAGTATTCATTAGCTACATTTCTTGTGAAAAATCACTCTAGCCAACATGGTTGTTGAAGTGAGGGGCCAAGATTCAAAACCTTAACAATACCCAAGAGGGAATTCTGTGGTTTTCTTTTAAGAGATTGCAATAACTGGTTAATAACACAATTTACTCAGAAGCTCCCAGAAATATTTTTTTGTAGTTAAAAAATTTCACTGTTGTAATGTAGATTGGATTAAATTAAGGAACTTAAAATTTTCTTCGTCATAGCCTAAAGTCATTCAATGGTTCAGGTCACTGGCATGTTGGTTTAGGAGAGGAACCAGATTATAATTTGAATCAACTCACAAAGCCCATTAGAAAAGAGGAATTACCCAACATCTAGATTCATTTTTATAATCTCCATACTAGATGGAAGAGATGGTATAATGCCATTTGGAACAGAGCCTTTTGAATTTAAAGGAAAAATAGCTGTGTAGTGATGGTAGTCTGAAAAGAAAATAAATTCTTTGGGCCACTGGCATACACTCTGCTAAAATTAAACTGTTGCACAGTAACAAAGAATTGGTTTGCTTCCCAATTTATCAGGTCACTCCATGCTGGGTCTTTTAAAAAAAAAAGTTGCATTTAAAATACAAGTGTATGAGCTTTTAGGAATTAGTGCAGTAAGAGAAAGTAAATGTTAACTTCTCAGATGCCATTATTAAAATGCAATTTCACTGTTTATGTTAACAGATGCTTTATGCTAAACTCAAATGTTTTTGCTTTAAGTGAAAAGCATGTTTGTTGAATTATATTTCCAGTTTGTGTGTATCGCAAACAACAGATTGGTTGCATTTTTTTAAATAGCAATGACAGCTCTATGTAAATTCAAATGTCCTGTAATATCTGCTGTTTACATTTTAGATTTGGGGTTTTAATTAAGTTAGTCCATAGCCTACTGCCACTGCTGAAGGACCAAGTTTAGAAATGCACAGTGTTACAGAATCCAAAGCAGAGCAAACAAATTTGATTCCC